CACTGTTCACAACTGGCAGAGTTTATGATCACCAAGTGCCGCCCATTTTACTTGCCGAGGGAATACAGCGCGATTTTGCTTGTCGCAATTTACTTTCCCCCAACCAACAGCAACAGCGAGAGAAATGCGGCTATACACGAACTGTACCAGGCAATCAGTGAGCAACAGACAAAACACCCGGACGGTTTTATGATTCTCGCCGGCGATTTCAACCATGCCGACCTAAAAACCGTCCTTCCAAAATACCACCAACATGTGAAATATCCTACAAGGGGAAAAAACACTCTGGACATGGCATACACACCCATCAAAGATGCCTATAGAGCAGCGCCCCTCCCCCCAATCGGACTCTCTGACCATCAAACTGTTCTCCTACTCCCTGCATACAGACAAAAGGCAAAACTCGCCAAACCGGTTTCAAAGGAGGTGAGAGTATGGCCAGATGGTGCTCAGGCCGCTCTCCAACACTGTTTTGAAATAACTGACTGGGACATTTTTAAACAAGCTGCCACCAACAACAACAACCAAATAGACATTGAAGAGTACACCGATACAGTCACCTCCTACATCACAAAATGCATAGATGATGTCACAGACACAAAAACAATAATCACCCGGGCCAACCAGAAGCCATGGTTGACAGGGGATGTCCACAGGCTGCTGAGGGCTAGAGACAAAGCCTTCAAAGCTGGGGACGAAGCGAGCCTGAAAACAGCAAGGGCCAACCTGTCACGTAGCATCAAAAAGGCGAAAAGGAATACACACAGGAAATAACCTCCCACTTCAGTGATAGCAAAGATGCACGGAGCTTGTGGAAAGGCATCCAAGCTATCACTGACTACAAACCATCACCTCGGAGCTGCGACAACAACACATCCCTGTTGAATGACCTCAACAGCTTTTTCGCACGCTTTGAGGAAAACAACAAGACCCACCCACAGAAAACATCTTCCCCGCCACACGACCTAGCACTCTGTCTACCTGTCAATAGCGTGAAGAGGGCTCTCACCAGGATCAACCCACGCAAAGCAACAGGCCCAGACAACATCCCCGGACGGGTGCTGAAGGACTGTGCCGAGGAATTAAAGCATGTTTTCACCGACATCTTCAACACCTTACTACAACAAGCCATCGTCCCCTCCTGCTTCAAAGCCGCCACCATTATACCGGTGCCAAAGAAGCCATCTCCATCCTGCTTCAACGACTACCGTCCCGTAGCACTGACACCCGTCATCATGAAGTGCTTCGAACGGCCGGTCATGACACATATCAAATCCATCCTCCCCCCCATCCTGGACCCCTTTCAATTCACATACAGACCCCGGCGCTCCACAGAGGACGCCATCAACTCAGCTCTGCACCCAGCCATCACTCACCTGTAGAAAAAAGACTCTTATGTGAGAATGCTGTTCATCGACTTCAGCTCAGCATTCAATACAATTATACCCCAACAGCTGATATGCAAACTGGACAAACTGGGCCTCAGCACCTCCCTCTGTAACTGGCTGCTGGACTTCCTGTGCCAGAGACTGCAAGTTGTGCGCGTCGGTAACAACACCTCGGACACTATCACGCTGAGCACAGGAGCTCCACAAGGGTGCGTGCTAAGCCCTCTGCTCTTCACCCTACTCGCACACGACTGCAAAACAACCCACAGCACTAACCACCTGGTAAATTTTGCAGACGACACAACCCTGGTGGGACTCATCTCCAACGGTGACGAGACACACTACAGGACAGAGGTGGACCACCTAGCCAATTGGTGCAGTGACAACAACCTCCTACTGAATGTCAGCAAGACAAAGGAGATTGTTGTCAACTTCCAGAAAGGTCCCCGCCGACTCCTGCCACTGACCATCGATGGCGCTGCTGTGGAGAGCGTGAGCAGCACTAAATTCCTGGGAGTGCACATCAGCGACGACCTCTCCTGGACCACCAACACTGCATCACTGGTCAAGAAAGCCCAACAACGCCTCTACTTCCTGCGGAAGCTGAATCAGGCCAGTGCCCCACCAGCCATCATGACCTCCTTCTACAGAGGAGCCATTGAAAGCATCATCACCAGCTGTATCACTGTATGGGGCGGGAGCTGCACTGACTACAACAGGAAAGCCCTGCAACGTATAGTGAACACAGCTGGGAGGATCATCAAGGCACCTCTCCCCTCCCTGCAAGACATCTACTCCAGCCGCCTCACCTGCAAAGCCCTCACAATTTTGAAGGATGACACCCACCCAGCACACAACCTGATCCGTCTCCTGCCCTCCGGAAAGAGGTACAGAAGCCTACGGTCCAGAACCACCCGGCTGGCGAACACCTTCATCCACCAGGCCATCAGAATGCTGAACTCCCTCCACCCCCTCCCCACACGGTCTGCTCCAGCCACCAGGCAGACAGGAAGCTAAGACTGCCCCTCTCTCTCTCTCTCTCTCTCCCTCTCTCTCTCTCTCTCCCTCTCTCTCTCTCTCTCTCTCTCTCACACACACCCACACACCTCTCACACACACACACACACACACACTGTACCAGAGACTGCACCTTACCTGCACTACCTCAGCCTGGAACAAACTATTGCTGCTGTTTTTATTGCTTTTTATTGTAATGTTTATACTTCATATTTATATTTATCTTACCACTGTTACCTGTCATGTCCCGCACTTTATGTCAGTTTTTAAATGTCAGTCTTGTATATTTCTTGTATATTTGTATATTGCAGAGAGTAAACATAATTTCATTTCCCTTGTATGTCTTGTACATATGTAGAAAATGACAATAAAAGTTGACTTGACTTGACTTGACTTGTGCTAGAAAGTGAACTGCCTAAGCTTCTAGAGTTATTCATTTTTACATCAGCTTTTCCCTGTATCTACTGAAACAAAGGATCACCAACCATGATATCAAGCTATTTCTTTACGGGCAATTGTGTGTGTTAGTTTTGTACTAACACACACGTATATATACATGTATATATATATGACACATACCACCCCTCGTGGGGTGGTATGTGTCATCCTCAAGCTCAGGTCCTCTACCAGAGGCCAGGGAGACAATATATATATATATATATATATATATATATATATATATATATATATATATATATATATATATATATATATATATATATATGTGTATAGATATATATGTATGAGTATATATATATATATATATATATATATATATATATATATATATAGGCACTAATCATGGCAGCACAAGAACAGGCACTCAATTCAAGACCAATAGAGGCCAGGGTCTACCACACCAGGCAGGACCTGGCAGACTGTGCAAAGATGCCCCTGAAACAATACAGCACATAACAGCAGGGTGTAAAATGCAGACAGGAAGTGCATACATGGAACGCCACAACCAGGTAGCTGTCATAGTGTACAGGAACATCTGCCATGAGCAGAGATGGGAATTAACAAAGTACAAATACTTCGTTACTGTACTCAAGTACATTTTTCTGATATTTTTATTTTACTTTACTACTTATTTTTATGGCGACTTTTTACTTCTACTCCTTCCATTTTTACACAAATATCTGTACTTTCTACTCCTTACATTTTTAAAAATTGGCTCGCTTTAGTTTTGAATCATTTCAATGGAGTTACCGTTATTATTTTTCACGTCATCAATACCAAGTTCAATCTAATTGGAATCTACGTTGCATTTGACGCACCACTACAAGATGAATCGACAGATTCGGCGGTATTCATTCGCAGGAAATCATTGCAGCTTGGTGGCGGTGGCGTTAGCATAGTAGCATGGACGACGAGATGATTGAAAATGAACACAACGGAGATCTAGTCCTATTGGCAGACATCCATTTGAAATGTAGGCAACGGCATGAAAAAAGTGGTTTCTACTTTTACTTTATACTTTAAGTAACTTTACAAGCCTGTACTTTGTTACTTTTACTTGAGTAAAGAAGTTTAATCAGTACTTCCACTTTTACCAGAGTATTTTTTAACACAAGTATCTGTACTTTTACTCATGTAAAGAAAGTGAGTACTTTTGCCATCTCTGGCCATGAGTATGGGCTGGAAGTCCCAAGGTCAAAATGGAAGACACCTCCTAAGGTAGTTGAGAATGACCGAGCTAAGATCCTATGGGACTTCAAGATCCAGACTGACAAACAGGTGATGGCTAACCAACCAGACATAGTGCTGATCGACAAACAGCAGAAGAAGGCAGTAGTGATAGATGTGGCAATCCCAAGCGACAGCAACATCAAGAAGAAAGAACATGAGAAGCTTGAGAAATACCAAGGACTGAAAGAGGAGTTAGAAAAGATGTGGAAAGTAAGAGCAGCAGTGGTGCCAGTGGTAATTGGAGCACTGGGGGGCTGTGCTCCAATTACCACTGACCAGTTTATATATATATATATATATATATATATATATATATATATATATATATATATATATATATTTATATATATATATATATATATATATATATATATGTATCTATATCTATATATCTATCTCTCTCTCTCTCTATATATATATATATATATATATATATATATATATATATAGAGAGAGAGAGAGAGAGAGAGAGAGAGAGAGAGACAGATAGATAGATATATATATATATCTAATATATAATATATGAGACGAGAGTCATTCCTGCTGTATGTAAATCAAAGAAGTCAATATATTTTCTTACTATTTTCAGATGTTCTCTGTCAGAATGGTAAAGGAGGGAAACAACAACAGTAATGCTTCAGTGAAGACAGCATTGATTTTTGTTTTGTGTAGTTTTTTTTCCTCCAGCCTGGTGGGTGTTCAGCAGCTTGAGTTTGCGGCTGCAGAGCGGTTATCGACTCTCCCTGCTGAGTCATCTCTATAATGCGATCACCTCCATAGCCCTACTCTGAGAATATCCGATACTGAATAAATATTTTAAATGACCAATTAGGTTCTTTTCCTATCATTCAACCGTGCCTGAACATGTTAACTGCTCCGCACTTATGGTTTCCCACTTCTCGACAGGTGGAGAAAGAGACGAGAGCGAGGACACAGCGGGGGAGCTACGCAGGACAGAGTCTGACAGCGTTTTGAGGAAGGTCTGCATCTCAACATTCAGCTCTTCTTGACTCATAGATAGCCTGAGGCCATGTGTCCTCCTACATCAGCAGCAGCATTCAGATAAATGTTTGCTGCCCCCACCACACCCCTCTGTTGGATTAGCCTCTTGACTCTTCCTGCCACGTCTTGTTGCCACTGACGAGCATCAGCTGCTTATCTATCAAGCAGTGGATGAAAGAGTCATGTTTATTACAAAGCTGCTGGCGTCGTTAGGACCTGTATGCAGTTATCCAGCATGTTATATAACTTTTGAGATAATTTATTAAAGCGGGGATAATTTATTAAAGGATTCGGAAATGCAAGGTTGGAACAGCCACTTCCCTGCGACTTTAAAGAGGGACGGTCAATGCTAATTTCCTTTTAGACATGCCATCTTGTACAGAAAAAGCTTACTTTGGCTTTCCTTCTGACCTGATCTCCTGTTTCCATATTTTTGCTGACTAATGGTAAACTGCAAACAGGACTTCCAGTAGCTTTCCTTTCGCAGGTTTTCCACCAACAGCAGATTTGTAAAGTTTAGTCATGATAACTGCAGGATGTTAGCAGGTTGTTTGACACTCATTATGTTCCCTTGTTCTAACAGCAGGTCCTTCACAGCGTCTCCAACCTGCATCTCCTGCTCAGCACTCTGCAGGTACGCCTCCTCCTGAAGTCTACATCTGCAGGATTTATGTCAGAAATAAAAACATGATTGTGAAGTTTTAAGTTAATGTACATTTTAAGAAGTTTCTCTTTGTGCAAAAAAATCCGATCATAAATATTTTGATAACAGTATAGAATCATCTTAGAATTTCATGAGTTAAGTGTCTATTGTGATCGTTGATGCCTTGTGGGTCTCAGGCGGTGGTGGTCCAGCAGAACAGCTACATCGAAGACCAGCGGCAGGCCCTGAGCGAGCGTTCCTCCTCGTGCTCGTCCTTGTCATCGCGGCAGTCCTCCCGTCCCAGCTCCCTGATTGAGCAAGAGAAGCAGCGCAGCCTGGAGAAGCAGAGGCAGGAGTTGGCCTCCCTGCAAAGGCAACAGGCTGCTCTCGCCGAGGAGAGGCGGAAAAGGGAGGAGTTGAGGGAGCAGCAGCTTTCTGAGAGAGAGTCGGCGGTGCACTCACAGGTAACGATGCATCATCTTCCCCCAGCCTTGTTCTCCATTAGGTTCTAAGCAGGTGTAGTTCTTAATATAACGGCTGGTGTTTATTTTTCAGCAGGAAAATAAATGCTGAGGGAGTCATGCAGGAGTGCTTCACAAGCTGCAGGGGGTTTCTCTTCGTCATAACACAATAAAGTGTGAAGTCTTTTGCATAAACTAGTTTTCTTCACTGCTTTGAGGTTTATCATAGGCGACCTTAGTTCCTTGAAATTTCATCACACATTTATTTAACTTTTTCTAAGATCATGAGGAAAGGTGCAAAGTAAACTTATCAGGAAATATGATTGGTTTTGGGTGATAGGATTTAGCTGCTTTTTTTTTTCAACGAAAGTTACACATAAAAAAAAATGTTGTTTCAGGTCTTATTTGCTGCAACACCAGGCTTAGGTGTTGCATAAACCTTCATATCCCCAAATCTGTTAGAAAAGTTTTCAGAGGCAGAAAAGTGCCTGGACCTTGAGGGGGGGGGGGTCAAAACGGCAGAACCTGAGAATTGCAGGAGTCAAGAAAGGGCTGGAAAACAGGCAAAAAAATCTAGAGACTTTGTAGCAAAGGGTAGGTTGCTGTCGCTCTTTTTTCTTCTGGGCCAAAAGATCCTAAACCGACATGCCACCATCGATTATGTTTGACAATAAAGTTTAACAATGCATGATGCAAATCCATGAAGCAGCGAGACCGTGAAAAGTGAACCGCGTTATAGCGAGGGTTCACTGTAATGTAAACTGTGGAGAGTTTCAAATACCTGGGTGTTTACGTCAATAATAAACTGGACTGGACTCATAACACTGACGCTCTGTATAAAAAGGGCCAGAGGAGTCAGCAGGCCCCTCCTTAAAATCTTTTATGACTCTGTGGTGGCCTGAGCCCTCCTCTACGCTGTTGTCTGCTGCGCCCCTGGCAGCTCAGAGCGGGACAGAAAGAGACTGAATAAGCTGGTGAGGAAGGCCACTTCTGTCCTGGGCTGCCTCAATATCTTACTCTGATAATAACAGGCGTATTGTTATACTATTTTTGTTATTTTTATTATTATCATTATTACTATTATTAACTGTAATGACATAGAATATTCCTAGATGACTTGCAGAGACATCATTTTCCCTTCTACTTTTCTCCTGTATTTATGTGAATAATTAATTGCTGTATTTTTATTTGCAGTTTACAGTTAAAATGCTAACAACTAAAAAGTTAAATTAGTCAACACACCTGGAAATAGTAAAATTTGTGTCATTATTGTTCTTTAAAAAAGGCACATTGTTTAGATTGGAATAAAAAAAAAAAAAAAAAAAAGTTATCCAGAAATGAATAAAAAAAAAACCTTTAATCCAAAAAAATATATGTAATATATTACAACAACATATTTATTGGTCATTGTTTTCGTCAAGAGTGAGCACTTTTTTAAGCGGGCTGAAAATAGAATGATCTGTGAATACGTAGCGATTTTAAAAGAATGCAATTGATTAAACTCAATATGAAAAACAAAAATGAAAAACAAAACTTGTGAAAATACAAAATCTGCAAATAAAAACGTCATTTCACTAGCTCTGAGATCCTCTGGCAGAACGTAGAAAAATCAGTTTGTTGAAGATTGACATAATCAGCCTGATTGGATTATAACACTGTCCCTTCTATAACCTAGTTTAATCTACGTACCCTTAGGAAACAAAAAAAAAAAAAGACATTATACCTAAGATTTTTTTTATATCTTGCTTTAATACAAAATAGCAATTAATATTAGTCAATGGGGCAGTTTCCCAGTGATTGAACTGCTGGGTTCCTGAGCAAGACTGTTGCTCTCCAACTGTTTCTCACAAACTGGCTGCTCTATGTTGGGATAGTCAGGACCTTCATTTCCCTCCCGAAATTTATAAAGTATAATAAAAGAAAACAAAAAATATCAGTACTGGGTTAACTTATCTTTTCCATTATCAATAGCCATATTTCTCCCCATATTCAGCCACAACTTATTTTAACTTATAGCACAGCTGCAGGTGTGAAACACATAAATGTACATGTCATGTTATAAACAGAGAATTATATAAACACAAATAATCATTCATCCTTACATCTTTAATTCCTTTATTCACAATCTACACTCACAGTACAGGAGAAGATTCTGCCGATCGGCCAGCTCCTCCAAAAACTGCCACATGTCTTCAATCTTTTCAAAAACAAGCTTGAAAGGTTCTAAAACCATCTCCCTCTCATGCTCATCAATGGTGAAGTCATCTACTTCACACCTTTGTTTGTATAGCTTGACTGCTTCAGCCACATTCTCCTCCCCCATCATCAAAATGTCAGGCAAATCCACCTTGCCGCTGAAGAGACTTTGGTTTTCTTCCAACCAGTGTGCTGCTTTTCTGCAGTCATGGATCACCTTTTTATCCTGTAGAAAAGAGGAGAGATTATTATTTTCTAAAAAAAAAATGAATGCAACAAAATGTACATTAAAAAAAGACCATTTTGACCTTTTCGGTATGGAATAAGTCAGCCTGTGTAGTTTAAAGCTGGTCTTGGTCCTGAGGGGAAAATATAAATAAAAAATAATCTGAAAAGTTCCATGTAGTTAATTTACCGTATTTTCACGACTATAAGGCGCATATAAACGTCTTTTTTTCCCCTCAAAATATGCGGTGCGCCCTTTGGTGCGGTGCGCCCTATGTGTGTTGTAACTGCAGACTTTTGAGACCACCTCATTGAGGAGATGATGAAAGAGTGGCTGAATGTAAGGAGACCAGGTGTTTTTTTTCCACTCATCACCATTGCTGTTAATCTGTGACTCCATGCGTGTCCATCTCACAGCTGATGTGAAAAACATGGTGAAACAAATGAATGCTGTGCTCGCTGCTATTCAACCGCTCGACATTGGTGTGAACCGGACGCAGCAGGTGCAGCAGAAGCAGTGAGTTTACATGCAAAGTCAATGGTTGACGCGCGTATAGGCGCAGCAAAAGGTCCCGCAGCGCGTTTTGAGCAGCAGGCGCAGCGCGTCGGGAGCGTTTAAGCATCTGACGCGCCGCCAACGCGCTACTGCTGCTCGAGAAGGAAAAATTGAAGTTTTGCTGCTGGACGTGCCGCATCAACCAATCAGAGAAGCTGATCTGGGAGCTGACAGCGAGACAGACACATCGCTGATGATACACATATACAGAGCGCTATGATCGCTCCTCTGAAACAGTTTATTGACGCCTAAATTAACTTAACCTGCCGACAGAATATGTTTGCTTTTATTATCCAGTTTTCAGGTGGATTTTCCCACTTAAAAACATATTAAAACTACTTTATTCCCACTGATCACAGCAAATATAGCTGCGAGGTGTATTTAATACAAAGTAGCCTATTAATCAAACCTGGGAGCTGGCCGTGAGACAGACACATCGCTCTGATGACATATGATATTAAGGCAAATGAAAAGGGCTGGATGGATGAGGAGATGATGAAAGAATGGCTGAGGCAGGTGAATGTAAGGAGATCAGGTGGTTTTTTTCCACTCATCACCATCTGTTAATCTATGACTCCATGCGTGCCCATCTCACAGCTGATGTGAAAAACATGGTGAAACAAATGAATGCTGTGCTCGCCGTTATCCCGGGGGTCTGACAAAGGAACTTCAAACACTCGACATCGGTGTGAACCGGCCGTTCAAAGTAAGGCTGCGAGCGGCGTGGGAGCGATGGATGACAGACGGAGACCACAGTTTCACGAAAAGTGGAAGGCAACTGTGGCAAGTTATGCCACAGTTTGCGGATGGATTGTTGATGCTTGGACTAACGTGTCTGCTGGCACTGTTGTTCGAGCTTTCGCAAAATCCTTTCCGAGGAGCCGCCTGGCACGGAAAGTGACTCTGACAGCGAAGAAGGAGAAACTGGCATGTCTGATTTAGCGCAGCTGTTTAATTCAGAAACAGAGGATGATGACTTTGATGGGTTTGATTAATACTTTGTGATAAATACTTGAATAAAGCACAATCATACTCAGTTTTGCTCCCGCTCTATTTTTCTACCTGAAAACTTAATTCAACAGCAGCCTCTGGGCGGGTCTCCTCCAGGTTCACCGCGGCGGCTGGCTGGTGTTTTTCATCTAAATAATCTAAATCTTGCAGCTATATTTGCTGTGATCAGTGGGAATAAAGTAGTTTTAATATGTTTTAAGTGAGAAAATCCACCTGAAAACTTAATATTTGCAGTCAGTTCATCCAGATTATCTATTTCTGTCGGAGGCGCTCAGACCCCCACATACCAGCGGTGCGCCAACAGTAGAAATCCCTTCAACAGCAGCCTCTAGGCCGAGCAGCCTCCGGGTTCACGGCGGTTGCTGGCAGGTGTTTTTTATCTAAATAATCTAAACTGCAGGCACCAGGATACCGTTAATAAAAGCGAACATATTCTGTTGGAAGGTTTCAGGATTTTAAGTTAGTTTATGCATCAATAAACTGTGTCAGAGGAGTGATCACAGCCTGTTTGATTAATACATAGGCGTAACTTCCTTAAGGACTGGTGTGGACATGTCCCCACCAATCTTGACCGGTAGGGGGACATGTCCCCACCAATATTTTGTACACGTATTTTGCTTTCGGTGCTGTGTATATCTGATTAAAACCCCATTCATGCCGCTCCTCAGAAAGAAAATAAAAAAAGTTCTCCCCGCTGCTCACCGTCCACAAACCCCGACAAAAAAACTCAGAAAAAAGAATCTGTTGCCTCTCGCTTTCTCCCCATCACCCCCCTCCGCCCTCTCCCCATAACACCTGTCGCTTCCCTCCAAAAAGCCCCCGCTATTGCTACTCCCACCATTTGACGTGATCGATAGGAGGAGAGATAGCAACACAGCGGTGTTCATTAAATTTAACCGGTTGCTAACCTATTTGACTCAGGGTTGGTAAAAATGCCACAGAAAAAGCTGCCTGACATCCGGAGCTTTTTCACCAAACAGCAGAAACTTGTAAGTTTTTTTGGGTGAATTAAAATGAGTAACAAAACATGACATCAGCATTTAATGCAGGTTATTCTTCTTTCTAACAGGGAACAAATATAATTCAGATCGCTTCCTCAGTGGAAGATGCTACGGGTTTTCAGGTAAAATGCAAACAGTGTTGCGAAAATACTCTTGATGAGATGTGTGAGAAAAAGGACATTTTAAGGTTTTATTGTTGAATATGTGCCATTCAGCAGGCCACAAGCATGCTAACCCATTCAGGGACAGCAGTGGACTCAGACTTGCAGGTGAGAGGGACTTGTGGAAATAATAAGACCTAATTTTAGTCAGGAGAGACTTAAAGTAGTAAAAGAATAGAGAATAGTGTAAAAATAAGTTAATACCGTATTTAAAATATAACTGAACCGTTGGAAAAAAAACTCAAACCACTTTTTTCCGGCCCTGTTATGTCAGCTTCACTACATCGTTGCCATAGAAACAGACAACAGTGCCAATATATCAGAATTATACTAAAACACACGCAAATAATTTCCCACATAAAAAACAGGACTTTCAGTCCATTACAGTTTTCCGTTTTTAGAGGGTTGTTTATTTTGCGTTTATTAAGTGATGGCTGTGGTATATTAGCTTTCACTGCTATAAGCTTTCGCAGCAGTGATTGATTAATTTAAACACCTGCTCTACTGATGGTCTATCGGAGTTGGTGTTTAGGTTGAACATGAAGAACACCTTTTATTTGAAGCTTCTTGTAGCTACTGTTTTAATCCCGGCTTTACTTAAAACTTTTTCCTGACCTTGTTATATAGTTGTCATAGTGTTGACATTCAGTAGCAAACACTGCACCCCTTTTTCTTTTATATGTACACGTACATTTAAGATTTAGCGTGTTATGTTGACAACTCATGAGCAAGCTGCTTTTTGCAATCTAGCAGGAAGGTAAGGATAGGATCTTGCAGGTGTAACGTCACTCTGCAGGGGGTCCAAAGATAAAAGATTTAAACAATTTTGCATTGGAATTTCAGATTTAAGGGAGTTAGAAAGTTCACTTAGTAAAAGTGCAAATAATAAATCTGATTACAGATTACTTTTAAGCTGGTTGAACATACTGCGACAGACTGGTGACCTGTCCAGGGTGATTCCACCTCTCACCCAGAACGTGGCTAGAGATATGCACCAGCACCTCCTGATCCCACTGAGGGATAAGGTTAAAGAAAATGGATGGTTGAACATAGTCCGCTTTCCCAGATTCTATCAAATCAGTATTGATACCCTGCTGGTGGATGTTCTTGACAGGAAGACGGAGTTGCTTAATTATATTCTGCTTAAGGCCCCATAAGATCTTGTCCAAGTCCTGGTTTAAAAGTAAATTAATTTTAAAAAGTGACCCAAAATTGACCGCCAATAAATGTTCTACAAAATTGGTATATTTATTTGATTTCATTGATTTGTACTGTCTGTTTAGATTTATGTGATATTTTTTGCACAAAATTTGCACAAAAGTGAATATTGTAACAGTTATGTTTTCAACTGTAAGCATTAAATTAATAAATGTTATTCAAATTTTTTTGGCTTTATCGGTCTCCGCCAGGTGACGTCAATTGTTTACCTCGGGCGCGGTGCATCGTGGGAAAACCACCATATTAGGTGGAAAGTCGAGATAACCCACACGCGGCTGTTCTTTCGGCACAATTATTTACCAGAAATGACACGATCGTGTTGTGTGAGAGGCTGCCAGTCCCGGTGTCGTGCCAAGGTAGTTATCCCTGCGAAAATTTGTATTCCCTCGTCGGGAGCGCGCACGGAGTAGGAAGAACAACCCGAGTTAACTCTGCTTCAATTCCAACGTGCAGAACTTGAAATTTGAAAGGTTTTACGCGTATGATAGTTGAGCTTTACTGTTTTATTCTTTACTTCACATGTTATAGCAGAATATCGCCAGTGTCTACCAGTATCTACTCCTTCCTCTGAAAGCAGACAGATCCTTGTTCTTCTCCATACGTGCCTTAAAAAAATCTCTTATTGTTTCACAGTATCCAAATGTTCTCATCCCATGAGACTGTTGTAAACCGTATACTTGTAATAAAAATGAAATAGAAAATGGATTGCACGTGTAATCATTAAAGACTATATGCAGAAGGAAAATCCTTTTTTCCTGGTTGAAATTTAGTACTTAAATTTATATTTGTGTTTATAGTAATGTACAATTTATCTATGTTGTACTATCCTTAATAAACAGTTTGTCTTCTAACATCAGCCGTTTTATTTCATCCCATATTGCCAGAATTGGCAATATGGGATGAAATAAACCTGCTATAATCTGTTCCCCCTGTCTAAATCAGACAAAAAAGGCCCCAGCTTTTTAATTTTTGGCTTATAAGCATCTTTTATGATGACAACTAACCCCTGAAACTTTGGAGTTGATTGACCTTTATTTCTTAAAGTTACAAGGGGGGAACAAATTATAGCAGGCCACCTGCTATAATCTGTTCCCCCTGTCTAAATCAGGCAAAAAAGGCCCCAGCTTTTTCATTTTTGGCTTATAAGCATCTTTTATGGTGACAACTAACCCCTGAAACTTTGGAGTTGATTGACCTTTATTTCTTAAAGTTACAAGGGGGGAACAAATTATAGCAGGCCACCTGCCATAATCTGTTTCCGCTGTCTAAATCAGGCAAAAAAAGGAGCCATTTGTGAACTCTCCGTGTGCTTCCAGTGACTTATATGCTTTGAATTCCTCGCAAGTGTAGGCACTGACGCCAAACACTAGGTAGTTTGTTATGTCCACTGATGAGGTCAGAGGCAGTGAAGTGACGTCGGAGCTCCATTCTTTGCTGCGGAGATCATAAGGATCTATGCCGTTAATATCCGACAGTTTCGACAAGTAACGGTCCCTGGCCTCGTTATTAAGTTTTTGCCGGTACGGTAATTACGCATTCTGCTTACTTTTTCCATATAGTCAGAGAAACAAACTCAATCCTTTAGTCCTTCGTTTAGCTATGCTGTGGTTGTTTACCTTCTCCACCCAAAATGGCGTCTTAACAACAAATGTCACGTGACTGGCGGAGACCGATCCTTTGCAACAACAAAAAAAAGGCGTCGCGTAGGTAGCTCCCTTTCCTTATGAGCCGTCCCCACCAACTTTCAACACAAAGTTACACCCTTGCCAGCAAATAACTCCGAATGTTGTTTCAAAAATAGAAAACCTGGTTTCATTACTTAGTTTTGCCCTGGATTTTGTAGCGTTTGTGGACGCTACGTCGCTACTTGATAAAAACAATAACGTCACTACTGGAAAGTTACTTAATAAAGCAGCGACGCTACGGTCAAGCTACTGGAAAATGTAGTTAAACTAATAGCTTCGCTAGATGTAGCGGCACTACTGCCCATCACATTCAGTAACCGCACGTGCTTTACATATAACGCTACAGCAATACATTGCTGACAAGCATATGAAAGCCAGACATCTTTTGCTTCGCGGTAAAAGTAAGAAATTAACTTACCATTGTTGCGGAGTCTCGCGTGTTCAACAACCTTCTTCTTCGTCTAGAAGGTGATGTCGGTTGGGGGGAGGTGGGCGTGGCTAAATTTGTTTATTTCCGGCCCTACGGTGGAGGTGGCCTGTGACAGGCGCCTGCACCGGAACTGGTCTGACAGCTGCGGTGCTGCAGCCAGACCGTCTTGATAAATAGTGCTGTTTCAATGCTGTTGTCAGAGATGGCTTTGATCAACGGGCAAGTCAGTGAGCTGATTGGATACCGAGATACCAGTGATGGAATGACGTTGCATGAACCCCCCTCCCTCCCGAATGGACGGATGATCCACGGACCTTTATTGATTCAGTTATTTGTTTTGCCAAAAAGATATATTATAATCATTTTTCATTAAATAATAGAGATGCAGATAAATAGAAATAAACAGTTCTCAGATAAGGTCGCAGGGTGTATCTATAACTGCGCCCATACAGAATGCAATAATTTTCATGAAATAAGATAATGCAGTCACTATGTTAAATTAATTCATTAACTTTATTTTAATCAAAAACATCATAAAATAGCACAATATCACACCAAGATCCCCAATAAACCTGCTTTAAAGACAGCATCTTAACAGCCTGGATTAAGGAGGAAAACAAAAATGTTCCCAAGTGCCGCCTGGTGGTTGTCCGGGTACATTGCAGTTCTTTTTGAAATAAAAAAACTGGCCTCAGGAAATACATCGTGATTCACGCAGGAATCACGCAGGAAACCGTCCATTTCCAACTAGTACCCACTGTAATACATATCGTCTGTTTGCATGAATGTGATGTGCAACATTTTTCTTTACTTCTAGCACAACAGAGTGTTCCATCCCACCCTTCACCATCCCTCAGCAACTTCCTTGAATACAGAAGAAAAAAAAATGAGGAGCGACAAAAGTATTCTTTTAGGAAAAAGGGGTTAAAGCAAAAGGAAAAAATGAAATTTCAGGTAGGTCCGGTATTGTTCCGACCAAAAACAAGCAGGTTTTAAGTAATAGACTTGCTTAAAGAAAGTTCCACGTAGCAAAACTATACAGAATAATTGTTTAACAGTAACAGCAAACTGTCAATTAATGATCACTCAAAACACTAAACCATCTACTGATTATTTATTACTTAATAATTTTACAACCATTGTTCTGTTTGCATCAGTTCAAAAGTAAAAGGTTGAAATTGACTGATAATAGTTAATGGATGTATTTGGATGTTATTGTAACATAATACAGGAGGAATTAAAAACAAAAACAAAACAACAAAGTATTCTCTAAAACCAAACATTGCTCAGTCTTCCGCATAATTTTTTTGTTTGTTTTCAGATAAATATTGGCTTGATGACCATTCAGAAGAAATGTCTAAAGCCACAGCATGGAAAAACCATTTCGCTTGCAACAAACCCAGATGTCTCTGCCACACCTCTGCTCAGTCTTGCTGTTAAAAAAATGAAGGACTTCAACAAAGACATAGAAGATGAACCTTTCCTCCTTCTGTACCCCGATCGGACAGAGGTTTTTAATATCCCTGGGACTCAAACACCTTTTACCCTTGCAGATTATAAGGCTGAAATTGGCAAGCCATATCAAAGGATCTCTCTTTTCCTCTGCTTGAAAAGGGACTTTGAAGAAGGTAAGCTCAGATGTTTGTGTGTACTGTTTGGCACATTGTTGGCACAGTTAGTTTGGCACTAACTTCAGTAAATGTAAATTTTTAAATTGTGCAATTAAGCATTGGTGGCATGAACCAATCAAGTAAAAAGTATACATAGATGGGCTCCTAACTGTAAACTTACTTCCTGGAAACCTGATAGGTAGACACTCAGTTATTAGTTTTTACCAGTTCTGTGTTTGTGCTTCCAGATACAATGTAATATAGTTGACCGAACACGGTACTATCACTTAGCTGAAGTTAAATTGGCTTGTTTTGTCTTTTTTTCCTTGTTTATCAGTTGGAAAATCATCAGACTCCTCTGATTCCGACCCAGAGATTGTTATTAAAGAATCCGAGTTTGATCTTGCTGATACACTGGTAAGTACAACTTAAAATGTATTTGGTCTTTTGTTTTTATTTGGTTGAGTGACCACAACAAGAGCATTTTACCTAAGCTTCATAGGACTATGTCGATGTTTTTATGTCAAATTGTGTTTCGTTTTCTTCAGCCATGGGAACCTATGAATGAAAGCAGTCCTTTGCAAAACGTGGCAAAAACAGAGTAAGTTATATTTTAGGTATGCCATAGCATGGTGTTTGTATGTGTATCAAAAGTATTATAGCCTTCAGTGAATTTTCATACAGTATGTACTGATATGTACTGATATTTGTAAATTAGGTGGTTATGGGAACCTGGCCTAGGAAGTATTTGTATTTTTTTCCCCAAGATGTTTGTTTTTAAATGTTGAATATACTGGCATTGAAATAATTAATACACTACCCTTGCTTTCTTCAATGTCTTATAAATTTTACAAGTATACAGTTGTTTAGATAAATATAACAAAAAGGTTCACAAGAGTTTCAGTAAATAACTTTTGTCAACTAGTTTTTGGCGATAATGAGTAAATCACTTTGCTTCTATAAAGATGGCATTGTACTGCCAAAACCGCTTTTAGGCATTCCATGTTTTAATTTATGTCTGTTTTAGTCAGATCATGGACAGAGGAGTTACAGTGCAATCAAATGATCAAGACATTGAAGAAAACTGGGTGATCCCATAATTTATACCTTGACAGCAGATGTTCAAAATACCCATTAATATGTTTTTTTTTCATTGTCCTCTAAGGAATGGTGCTGGGAATCTTGTACTTGCAAATGAAGTACAACAGGTACAAACTTTTCATTATCTCACACAACAATCCACCTATTTTTATCTCAAACCTTTAAGTAAAATATTTAAATATTAAAATAACTGCAGATTAGTCGATCATTAAGTTTTGCTCTCGTCTCTTCTCTGTTTTCAGGTTTTGGACTTGGATAACAATGGCAACAATCCAGGCACCAGTCAATGTCTCACTGTCCAGAGCTCCTGTTACAGGTGTGTAGGGGTTTCTATCATAAAAAAGAAGTGTGTCCGTAGTGTCATCATGACAAAGTAATACTGATACATCTATTGTATATTTATGTACTTTGGATGTTGTATATGTTACTTCTGAGATAAATTGAATGTTTTGTGAAGGAAAGTTGGAAGTACATCTTTATGCTTTTTGTTTATTACCTCATCTATATTGTGCATGTTTTTTCTCCACAGAGACTACACCACTCTCTTTGAGCCCATTGTTATTGATGATGACTATGAGATTGAATATTTTACAGATGACAAAAAGCAAGACCTGACCCCAGAAGAACATTTGTTAGTAAATTTAATATTTTGTATTAAATTAATCCACATCCTGGTCCTGAACGTAATTACATAATGCTAAGTGTGATCAATCAACTGTTTTAAATGAAGTTTTTTTTTTTTCTTTCTAGAAAATCAAATGTGCAGCCACATGATATTATTGCAGAACTGGCCAAGAATATAGACCACAAGAAAGTCAGCCGGTTCAATATATGTCGTACTGATGTGTGGGATGGAGCTGTTCGGGGCTTTCAGAGGAGCACATACTCTGACAAGAACGACATGTTCATCAAATTTAACGATGATGCTGGCTGTTTGGAGGAAGGGTTTGACTCAGGTGGCCCAAGGCGTGAGTTTTTCACGCTTCTTATGGCCAGTTTGAGAAGTCGTCCTATCTTTGATGGACCCCCAGAAGCTCGATACGTCGTGTGCAATTCGAGAGGTGAGTCATTTTTGGGTTACTGAAGTGGTAGTACTTCTAAAATAAATATTTGCAGAAAAATCTGCTTATGTGTATGGAAGAGGATTAGGGCCACTTAAAAAAAAAAGTTAACTGATTTTTACATTTTATTTCAGTTTAACATGGGAAAAAAGTCAGAATTCTGACTTTTTTCCCAGAATTCTGACTTTAATCTCAGAATTCTGAGAAAAAAGTCAGAATTCTGACTTTAATCTATACTGAATACTATACTGAAATAAAAAAAAAAAAAAAATCAGTTAACTTTTTTTTTTCAGTGGCCCTAATCCTCTTCCATATATGTGTCCGTCATAAGCAGATCTAAGATTTATTAACCCACAGTAAATCTGTGCTCTGTACAACAGCTGCCAGGGAAGATGAGTATTTTTTAGCAGGAAAGATGATTGCCGTATCGATTGTACATGGGGGACCGGCACCACATTTTCTCTCAAAGAACCTGGTCCACTACATGCCAAGTTTCAGTGCCACTGTAGAAGATGTTCAAGATGAGGAGATAGGGAAAGTTCTAAAACAGGTAGGAAATGACCTAGGTTTAGAGAGTAGACTTATTGTATGCCAACTGGAGATTATTTTCACATTCAAATTAAGATCACAAAATTATTACAACAAAATAGTAATTTCATTTTCTCAAAGCTTCACAAATCTTTTTGTTTTGAAAGGCCCAATTTCAGCTTGTCTCAACAAATGTGAAATCACAAACGCACAAAATGTTTATGCTATTTTTTGTATTCATAACAAAGAAGTTGTCAAATTGATAGTTCTGTACTTTTTCTTATAATAAACTGCTTGTTTTATAGGTCCTGGAAGCTGAATCAGATGAAGCTCTGGTTCCAAACTGCTGGCTGCTTCAGAAGTATGAAGACTTCTGAGAAGAAAGCTTTTGTAGACGAGTATCTCAGATGGTACATCCTTGAAAGAAACCACAGTGCCATTCAACGGTAATTACTAAACAGTGAGCTATTAATATATTATGTTATAAAGATTTAAAAACTATTCTAAAGTTGGATGCTCAATACTCAAGATCAATGACATATTTCCAGTTGTTCACACCTGCCACTGACATCATGACGTTGTAATTTACTATGAGAAACTAATAAGGTATAAAAAATTATGAGGAAATTATAGATATGAAATTAATCAGATATCAAATTTAACAAGCTTCTTTCCTTAATTGATTTTGGTTTTTATCCTTGGTTGGTAACACATCTTTCAATTCAATTCAGTTTATTTACAGGTGCTGGTCATAAAATTAGAATATCATGAAAAAGTAGATTGATTTCAGTAATTCCATTTAAAAAGTGAAACTTGTATATTATATTCATACATTACATACAAACTCATATATTTCAGATGTTTATTTTGTTTAATTTTGATGATTACAAATGACAACAAATGAAAATCTCAAATTCATCATATCAGAAAATTAGAATATTACTGAAGACCAATAAAAACAAAGGATTTATAGAAATGTTGGCCAACTGAAAAGTATGAACATGAAAAGTATGAGCATGTACAGCACTCAGTATTTAGTTGGGCCTCCTTTGGCCTGTATTACTGCAGCAATGCGGCGTGGCATGGAGTCGATCAGTCTGTGGCACTGCTCAGGTGTTATGATAGCCCAGGTTGCTCTAATAGTGGCTTTTAGCTCTTCTGAATTGTTGGGTCTGGTGTATTGCATCTTCTTCTTCACAATACCCCATAGATTTTCTATGGGGTTAAGGTCAGGAGAGTTTGCTGGCCAATTAAGAACAGGGATACCATGGTCCTTCAACCAGGTACTGGTAGCTTTGGTGCCAAGTCCTGTTGGAAAATGAAATCTTCATCTCCAAAAAGTTGGTCAGCTGCAGGAAGCATGAAGTGCTCTAAAACTTCCTGGTATGTGGCTGCGTTGACCCTGGACCTCAGAAAACACAATGGACCAACACCAGCAGATGACATGGCACCCCAAACCATCACTGACTGTGGAAACTTTACACTGGACTTCAAGCAACGTGGATGAAGTGCCTCTCTTCTTTTCCTCCAGACTCTGGGACCTTGATTTCCATAGGAAATGCAAAATTTACTTTCATCAGAGAACATGACTTTGGACCACTCACCAGCAGTCCAGTCCTGTTTCTCTTTAGCCCAGGCAAGACGCTTCTGACGCTGTCTGTGGTTCAAGAGTGGCTTGACACAAGGAATGCGACAGCAGAAACCCATGTCTTTCATACGTCTGTGTGTGGTGGTTCTTGAAGCACTCACTCCAGCTGCAGTCCACTCTTTGTGAATCTCCCCCACATTTTTGAATGGGTTTTGTTTCACAATCCTCTCCAGGGTGCGGTTATCTCTCTTGCTTGTACACTATTTTCGACCACATCTTTTCCTTCCCTTCGCCTCTCTATTAATGTGCTTGGACACTGAGCTCTGTGAACAGCCAGCCTCTTTAGCGATGACCTTTTGTGTCTTGCCCTCCTTGTGCAAGGTGTCGATGGTCGTCTTTTGGACAACTGTCAAGTCAGCAGTCTTCCCCATGATTGTGTAGCCTATAGAACTAGACTGAAAGACCATTTAAAGGCTTTTGCAGGTGGTTTGAGTTAATTAGCTGATTAGAGTGTGGCACCAGGGGCCATCAATTTTGAACCTTTTCACAATATTCTAATTTTCTGATAGTATGAATTTGAGATTTTCATTTGTTGTCATTTGTAATCATCAAAATTAAACAAAATAAACATCTGGAATATATTAGTTTGTATGTAATGTATGAATATAATATACAAGTTTCACTTTTTAAATGGAATTACTGAAATCAATCTACTTTTTCATGATATTCTAATTTTACGACCAGCACCTGTATATAGCGCCAAATTCACAACACATGTCATCTCAAGGCACTTTACAGTTCAACCAGATCATCCAGTCAAATTGATACAAAGTTTTCTATCTAAGGAAAACCAGTTGATTGCATTGACTCATTGACTCAAATACAATCCCTCACACTAAGCATGCTTGTAGCGACAGTGGAGAGGAAAAACTCCCTTTTAACAGGAAGAAACCTCCAGCAGAACCAGGCTCAGTGTGAGCGGCCATCTGCCGAGGCCCACTGGGGTTCAAGGAGACAGAAACAGAGATACAAAAAGCAGCTGTAAAAGGCGGCCCCGTCCAGGAAACACACAGCCAGGCAGACGAGCTCCAAGGCAGCTCCCATGCCAGAGGACGAAGAGAGCACATCCACTCAGTCACGGCCAGAGAAACAGGACCACACTGGAAAACAGGCCGATCTCCAACATCTATAAACAAGGGTGTTGATGGAAGCAGCACAGCTGATGTTTCTTTCCAGGATGACGTCACAGCCAAACAGGAACAGACGAGGCAAAGCTACTCTGAGGAAAAGCAGATAGAGCAGAAGGTTAGAGATTGAACTAACAGATTCTGCAGAATAGGAGAACAGAGAGAGAATGAAGCAGAATGATGAAATGGGGGTCCCTATGTCCTCCAAAAGTCTAAGCCTATAGCAGCATAACTATAGAGATAGCTCAGGATTTGTGTGTCCTTCTGAAAAATTATGTGAAATGTTGTAATATATTGAGCAATACTTTCCAAATACTGAGTTTCACCACTTTTATCATCCATTCAGAATTTTATGTACAATAGGTATTGTCTTCTTTTGTCATCATAAATATATATTTTTAATCATTGTTCACCATTACACAGATTAATCATAGGTATGGCACAGGAACAAATTTTCAATGCGATTTCTAAAAATGTTGCATGACACAATTTCGTTTTTTTGCACAGTAAAAACTTTTTTGAAAGTTTGAAATGATAAATCTTTACTTTTAATGATCATTTTTGAGCACTGTGAAAGGTTAGCCTTACTTTTTATATTTAATTTTCTTTTCTGTTTAGACATAGTGAACTACAATGTGGTTCACATTTACACAGGACTTAGAATACTTCATATTTATGCTATGAATAAAGTGCAGTGCATATGTTTTTATCCTTAACAGATTCAAAGATGGATTGGCAAGTCTTGTTTTTTTCGCTGCACTGCAACAGCATTCCAGTGTCCTGTCCCCAGTACTATGTTTCTCCGCCAAGGCCCTTACTGCTTCAGACTTGGAGACCATGTTTAAACCAGATCTCAGCCCAGTAGGAACCAATACACGGCAAAAGGAGGGCAAAACAATCGTCTTCTGGGCAGATTATTTACTTGCGAAGGTTAGTAAGGGACGGATTGTGTTTTATTCTAAAAATTTGTTTTTGTTTGTTTTATTAGGAGGAAAGCATACATAAAAATAAATCATTTGTGCAATGCATTATCTTTTAACTACATTGTTTTTAATTTTTCAGAGAAAAACACTGCTGTGTCTCTAGAAGTCCTGATGTTTGCTACAGGCCTGACAGCGATTCCACCAGCAGGCATGATGCCATCCCCACATCTTCAGTTTTTGAGTAATTCACCCTTTCCTGTTGCAAACACTTGTGCAAATACACTGAAGCTGCCACTTTTGGAATCTTATGCTGCTTTTAGGGCTAACATGGACTTTGGAATACAAAATGCTCCGGGATTCGGATGCTACTGAAACTGACAGAAGAAATTTCTTGGCAGTCTTCTTCTAATGCTGTTGGCATTCAGCTAGTTTTGTGATGATTGCTCCATGGGCCAGACCATGTATTTTTTTTAGACTGGTGTATGTCTGGTTTAAGCTCACGGTCCGGGCATTTGTAATATGTCCATAATATTGTTTATTGTATCATCTTAAAAGGGGATACACTTGGCTTTCATTTAAGCCAAGTTTTGAATATGACCAACTCAGAGGTCACCAGAGCTTGTTAAAACTAAATAACATCAATCCTTTTTGCCTTACCAAGAAACATTGTTTTTACTCCAGTGGTATCCAGGGACACAAGAGTTGACAACTAAAATACTTAGACTAAGAAATCCGGAAATGTGTACCATATACAGTTTTTTAGATTAGCCTACCATTATGTAATCCATAATAACCACATCAAAACATGACTGCATGGTAGGCTAGTATAGACCACAGGTTCTAATATAGTCAATGAGGTAAGGCTTTTGCTCTACTAATTTTCCGCCTGCTTGTCTGCTGGTCATGGCTTTCTCAAACCCTCCAAACTGAACATAGACACCTAGCGAGGTCCCCAATCAAAAGACACGAGCGGCTGGCTGGCTGACTGTTTGTTGACTTATGCCACAGTGCTGCGGTGCCTGTGGTCGCTAGGTGCGCTAGACATGAATGGTACAGGTCTAGCAGTAGCCAAAGGTAACACTTGCCCTTAAAGGGGTACACCGTTTTTTTTTACATTGGCCCCTTGATTTTACATTATTATCATGTTCTACTCACCCATATTAGTTCTGTGTCATTTGGAGCTGTTCCGAGGATATTCAGTTTTGTTATATCCAAGTAACATTTTCCTATGGGCAACTGGCCAACCAGATTCATCTATGTCTCACTGAAAGTAGCATAGAACGGAGAGCTCTAATGTGTGAGCCTTCGATCAGCTCCTCAATCCGCTTCCATTGCAACTGTGGCGTTTCCTTGTCGGGCTCTGGATCCTGTTCAAATTCTGCTTAGCCAGAACAATTGATGGAGAAGGAGGGAGAGGAATATTATCTAGATCTTTCAAAAGTTCCAGAGGATTACCATGAGCTCAAGGAAGTCTTCAACAAGTGCAGGGCCACTGCCTTGCCCGTGCATCAGCCCTACAATTGTGGGATTGAGTTGTTGCCTGGGACTATGCCCCTTAGAGGGAGGTTATATTCCTTACTGGCCATTGAATCCGAGGCTATGAGGAAGTATATTTCTCACTTTCTGAAGGCGGGGATCCTTCTTCCTCTGCTGGGGTTCTTTTTTGTGGAAAAGAAGGATGGCTCACTTACACCCTGTAGAGATTATAGAGGACTTAAAGAAATATCAATTAAGAATCATTACCTGATTCCTCTGATTAACTCTGCTTTTTACTAGATTCAGGAAGCCATAATTTTGACTAAGCTGGATCTCTGCAATGCATACCATTTGGTTACGCACTTGTGAAGCAGGTGAATGGAAGACAGCATTCAACAGCCCTACAGGGCATTATGAGTACCTGGTTATGCCTTTTGCACTCACTAACACTCAAGTTGTCTTTTAACCAGTGGTGGCAAACCAAAGGCACAAATATCTCTCCATATCTCGGATGCCAGCAGGTGGAGGTCGATTACTCCGGCTTAGAGACAGGAGTCCTCTTGAAGCTTCGGCGCTGGTTAGAACTGGGCAGAAAATTTGGATGAATTCCTGTAAAAAGTCCCTGTATGAATTACACTGGCTAGGATTATTTTGCCAATCTCACGTTCCACACAACTTAGCCTTGCCTGCTAACAGAGAGATTACATAAGCCATTTTAACTATGGAAACGCGAAGGGCTGAAGTTCGAAGTGCATCTCACACGACAGCTTGTGACAGACACGGATGCAGGAGAGGCCTCATTGCGCAAATTGTTTACGATTTTTCGCATGCCTGATTCAAGTAGAGCTATACTGTGCTCAATGCCAAAACGCCACTGTCTGCCTGCTGATGGGTCCATGTTTCTGCCCAGATTATTCTGTCAGAACTCAGAATGTAGGACCCATAATTCAGGCAGACAGAACTAAAGGGATTTTTCAACAAAGCCTTAATTAACTGCTCAGGGATCTGCGGCTCGTCAGCTTGGACGAGATGACTGGAATCTCTGTAGAGGTAGAAACTGAGGTTAGTGACCATAAAACTCTGACGGGAAATGATAGCCAGCATGTGAGCAGATCGATAAGCAGAACCCAGGAGAGGAGAAAGAGCCGAAGTATTCGGAAGGGAAAATCCAAAGTCAGTCTCAGTGCAGAAGCAGATGTCCAGGCCAGAAGATCAGAGATCTGAAGAAGTACCGAAAGGAAATCCAAGCCAGGGTTAGGAGACAAATCCAAGGTCGTTAGCAGGCAGAAGTCCAAAGACAGGTCGGGCAAAACAGATAAGATCAGGGGCAGGCAAACTCAGAAGCCCAGGAGCAAAAACTAGTCAGGATCAGGTAATCAGAAACACAATGGGTAGGCAAGAGAACTTTCACCTAATAATAGCTAATAATCTGGCACGGATGGCTGGCAACAAGCAGAGCTAGGCAGGTAGAAGAAATGAACCAATAATCCAGTCATCAGTGCCAAGACATGACATACTGCACTCATTGGGATCTCCTAAGCAGCACTTTGTTAATCATATCCCAGAATTGTGCCTCAATACAATCCTGTCTCTGACATCAAACAAGTCCTTTGACTTCATGCTTGGTGTTTACATAAATGGGATTGATTATTTTTCTTTTTAATATAAATCTGCATCAATAATGATGGTATGTTGTGAGTAGAGTTTTTATGATGTATATATTATTTAATGGGTTAAAGAATAATATACAATAGGAATCTATTAATATAATGACAAATTATGTAGTAACATGTGAAAAATGCTGAGTTCATTTCTGAGTGCACTGTATTTATATGCTATGTTGTTATGTTTCTTTAGGAAATAAATTCAATATATGGTATTTTATGTTACTTTTTCAGGAGGCAGAAAAGACACAGTTCACAGAGTGGTGAAATTAGAAACACATGACAGATAATTCATGAGTCAGTTCAGTTTATTTATATAACCCCAATACTCAGTAGCTACATGTCTATAATTCAGCAAATGGAGGCAGGTGTGTTGAAGGAGAGATGCCACTAATGCCACTGGTTTATTCTATTGAATTCTATGGAGTTAATGCACTCTAGGAGGTGATGGCGGCTCTAGTTGCCAATTCTGTGTCCCCCTCCAGAGACGGGGGCTCTGAAGTCAACAAGTCATCTCTATGTCATGTATTTGTTCTGCCCAGCCACTGAAGTAGACGAGTCCATCCAGCTTTAGGTTAAGCCTTAAAACTTGAACATTCCTGAGAGTATTTGAATGGACTCTTAAACATCCTTTTCCCTTTTTATTTATTTACTTGAGCTTATTTTCAGTAGTGTTCAGTGTTAAATAGTTATCAGATATAATAATAATGTGTGATTGGTAGTAATAAAGGTATAATTGTATTTTTAACCTTTTAACCGTGGTCATTTGTGTTTATTTTATACAGTGAACTATTAATCACTAAGGTTGGATTCACTCTTCTGTCAGTTGCATCCGAATGAACAGAAAAAATTTATTTTGCTGGTGATTAATAACTCTGCTGATAGCCATAGTCTAATTTATTACATTTGTGAAAGACAACTGGATTTTAAACAGGCGGGTTCAGGAGTCCAACCTTTTATGGAAAGCACTAAGAACTATATAATCATTCAAATAATAATTATTAATTGGTTTACCTTTGACTTGAATGACTTATTAATTAACTATAACTTTCAGTTCTAGTTATTTATTCATAATCTTCTGGTAAATATGCACAACACAGTGATGCAGCTCAGCGTCCCTCTTCCTCCAAACAACAAGAGTTGAGTTTATGACAGTAAGTTGTACTTTTGGTTTCATCTTACCACATTATATGCTCTATCATTGGGTTCACTGACCTTGACCTGCAGCTGGTTTCTGTCAGTCTGCCCCAGAGCAGCAGTGGCAACAGTGTAGCTCACTGATTCCCAACTAGGGGCACTAGTACCCCTAGTGGTCCACCCATGCATTGCAGGGGGTATGTGAAACACATCTGATATTTTACTTCCCAGATAAAGAAATACAATAAAATAGGGCTGGGTTTTGCTCTGGAGGGGTTTCAGTACTTGGTCAATTTCCAGGCAACATATTTATGTTCTTTTTTTATTCTAATTGATAAGAATTAAATGTCTGAGCATTAAATGTTCAAGATAGGGAAATTAAACTGATATTTTAGGTTTTTAAACCAGTTTTATTTTCTATTTGTGGAAAATAATCAACAGATTTGACGCAGGAGTACTCATTCTGTTCAAGACATAACCCTCTCCTTTGATCTGGGCTTGGGACCAGCTCCAGGAGCACACAACAAAGCTGTGGACCCTGGAGGCAGGATTATTATGTTTTTTTTTTTATTTGTATTTTTTATTTTATTATTATTGAAGGGTACAAGGAATAAAATACATTTACACATCTCTATACATTTTGGATGAATGGTTGACATCTGCTTCCAGTCTTCAGTGGGAAACTTGGGGAACATTCTTCATTCAAAGTGATCTTTGTGTTCTGAGGCAGAGATAAAAACCGCTTCTGTCCCATGGATCAATAGATGTTAATGTTTGGAGGTGGATCCATCTGCTTCTGGAGACTTCTGTCTTTCAGTCAAACACTTGTGAATATCCTAAACTTTCTCTGAAGTTAAAGTAAGTTTAATCATGTGAACAAACAGTCAGGTCCCGTCTCACCTCTTGGGAACGAACACAAGGAACGGCCAAGTTCCATTGAAACTCCAACTCTGACACCATTATAGTGCTGCTGGTTTTATCAGCAGTGTGTCCTTCAGCAGCTGTCTTACTTTGAAGAAGCTGTAAAATTGGATGTTTTCCTTCGTCTTAAGTGTTTTCAGTTGTTGTTGAACATAAAGTTTGTCAGAGAAATGACTGATTGGATTCAATTCAATTCAGTTCATTTATATAGCGCCAAATTCACAACACATGTCATCTCAAGGCACTTTACAGTTCAACCAGATCATCCAGTCAAATTGATACAAAGTTTTCTATCTAAGGAAAACCAGTTGATTGCATTGACTCAAATACAATCCCCCACACTAAGCATGCTTGTAGCGACAGTGGAGAGGAAAAACTCCCTTTTAACAGGAAGAAACCTCCAGCAGAACCAGGCTCAGTGTGAGCGGCCATCTGCCGAGGCCGACTGGGGTTCAAGGAGACAGAAGCAGAGACACAAAAAGCAGCTGTAAAAGGCGGCCCCGTCCAGGAAACACACAGCCAGGCAGACGAGCTCCAAGGCAGCTCCCATGTCAGAGGATGAAGAGAGCACATCCACTCAGTCACGGTCAGAGAAACAGGACCACACTCGAAAACAGGCCAATCTCCAACATCTATAAACAAGGGTGTTGATGGAAGCAGCACAGCTGATGTTTCTTTCCAGGATGACGTCACAGCCAAACAGGA